GTTCTACGAGACGTCCATCTTTATTACACTTGGTACCACTTGTGGTAACTTATTCAAGATGCTCATGGTGATAAGCTGAAGGCTATTTCGATGCTAACCTTACTGATGTTTCGATGCAGAGTACCATACTAATTAAGGAAACATCCGACGCTTCCAGGCAACGTGTAGCTTTATGGTTAGAATTTAAAAACGCGATTTTTTTTGATTTTCGACGCTCAGCCGGCTAAACTACAATGATTGTAATGAGAACTTCTTTAAATCTCTGTCAAAACTTAAATGTGGTGTTAAAATTCTCATTATCGCTAAAGAATCTATGAAAAGATTCAGTGTTCAAGGCTAAGTCAGTACATTATTATTAGCCATTGTCTGCTTATGGAGGAGATAACTTTCAAATATAAATTAGGTGTCATGCGGGTACAACCGGATTAAAGCTATCGACATTCCCTATTTCGCAGCTGCTGTCGACTTCCTTTCAAAATATTCAAAAAACGGATACGAAACAAAAGCAAATCACATCACAAAATACGTTCATGCAAATCACTGCCGATACTACAGCCATACTTACCGAAAAAAACGAAGCTATTTAGGGCGCCTTAAAATATTGTTCGAATCAGTAATCAGATTTTTAAAGAAAACATTCAAAAACAATCTGCGAAACGCTTCAAAATGAGCACTTAGAAAAACTAATTTCTGCCACGAGTCTGCGACGTAAAACTAAGCTAATGGACATTAAGCGTCTCTCTTGTTTAGCCATTTTTAATGTGTTAACTCACGTATCGCTTTGAATAGTTTAATGTAAGCTGATTCGTTGAGAGGAAACATAATAATGCAAACGTTTCGTCAAGCCCAACCGAATTCAATGTGTTCCATTAAGAGGAAAAACTTCTAGCTGATTTACCTGGAAGAAAGTACAAGAAAACCGACGCAAACAGGAGAAGTTTCGTCTGCTGGAATAACGTACTGTACTGCGACATGTTCAGAATATATACGCCTGGCATCCTGTGTATAAACTTAAGTCACTTAGTTTTGATGGCCGCTGATCCATCTGTGCAGCTAACAGAGTCAAACTGTCTCCAAAGTTCCTGATCATGAGTCAGCCTAAGAACCTCAGGAAAAGACTGTGTTGAACAGAGTCTGACGAGAATTTGTTCAGGCAATTCTTGACCTTCTAAGGGGTCTTCAGTCGGTAGGTCGAGCAAGCGGTAGCTTTTCCGCTTTCTGCATAAATTCGCAGAACGTCTCAAACCGGCGCAGTCTGGAAAAACAGCGGCTGTACAAACCAAGGCTAACTCTAATATTTGAACTCCGGACTGTGATGAGATGCGTGATCCCCGCGATTCGTCTCAGAAAGCTTATTTAGTCGCCTTAACCCGGGAATATATTTGACCATGACTCATGATAATAGGTGAACATGAGGATGAAGATCGACTTGAACACAAACACCATAGTCATTAGAATCAGCTCTGAATCAGAATGTCACAGGCTATGCCCATTCGACGGTCGACCCCCTGGCAATTTCCATCAACAGTATTATAAGCAGAGCGCAGAGGGGAGAAGATCGAGAAAGCGCTAAACATTTAGCTTCAGATACGTTCACTTCACCCGCATGACAGCCAAATTTGAACGCGAACCATTCCAGGGAGCGCTACAGTTCAGTTTCAGAAGATGCGAACAAGGTCGTCTGCAAGCAGCAACCTTCTCGTCTCGACATCTCCTACGCTGACACACTCATGGCTTTCGTTGCGCTTGACCATTCAAGGCCTTGGGGGAGAAAAGTGCGAACGATGAAAGGTTTCGACTTAACACCAATTACACGGATGCAACGTTTTCATTGAACCAAGAGGCACGAAAATGGCAGAAAGCGAAGGCTTAATGCGAAGCTTCGGAAAGGCCAACATTCAGCAGTGGATCGAGAAAGCCTGATGATTAACACTGACGCAACACTTGATACCAACTTGGCCCTAACACCTGGCCACCGATCCCATATTTCAGCAAACACTTCCATCGCTCGTTGACGGAATTCAGTATAGGCCTCCTGGGTATAAGAATTCCGTCATAGGCTTATAAAATACATGGAGACTCGATGAGCGAACTCGTATAATCTCTCAAGAATCTGGTATAGAGAGAAGAGTTGGACAGAGGGATTTCAGGCTAGATGAAAGCTACGCTGCGCTACTCGGATCGCGGATTCAGCTACTCCATCCCATTTTCTTTTCAACAAATTTGCATACGTTTTAACCGAGGGGCTCAGTTAAATGTTTCTATGAATGGAGCATTCCCTGCAATCTTCTTTCTTGAACAGGGGTAATACCATCATCGTTCTCGTGAGCTGGTGTTTCCCCTGTAGCCATTGCGGTTTTACAGGCTCGTGCTAGCCACATTGCCAAGTTTATCAGATTACACTGCATCCAGCAGACTTGCTACTTTACAAACTTTTTACAGCTTCTGCGACTTCATGTACTAAAAGAATAATACCCGTTCCCCGAAGCTCTTCAGTCCTTCACCAGGAAAGAAATCAATCTGTTCCAATCACTCCAATTCTACCGTCCTGCCGGCGATTTTTTATAGCCGCGAGACATTTTATATAGCCGCAAGCTGTCTTACAAAAACCGAAGAGCGTCAGCAATTTGACACCGAGAAAGCTATGAAAAGAAAAACGTCAAAAATCTCGCTTGGCGTCCACATCCTCAACACAGTGGCAGACGATAATGAAATACGTCGTCGTCGAAAGCATGAAGGAGAATTTAGGGTTGACCAGGCACATAGCTCGGCTCACCAACGGTCGGCGAATATGTCGACTAGTATTCCACGGGAAAACTAAACCACCTGATCGCTAACAATAACGGTGGGAAGATCATATCAGGAGCCGGGAAGATCGCGCTTGGAGGGAGAAGGCTCGAAACTGAGGAACGGTGGGCCTGTTGCGGGCGACGAGATTTACCACCAATTACTGGCCGGTCCAAGTGATGCTTTTTTAGCCATTTTCTCGGTGCTTGTTTGGACTTAAGAAATTCTTAAAAGTGCTCTCTTCGTCGCGGAAGGAGTACGACTGCGTCGGGACATATTAGTAAGACTGCGTTGGGACTTGTGTTTCAGAATATTTAGACGGCCGTTCTTTCCATCTCAGATGTGGCGGATGGTCTGCCAGAATACCTTGTTGCCGTCTGCAAATTCAAGTAAAACGCCTAAGCTTTTCCAATGAATCAGCTATCGCTTTATGCACTACTATAGTTGCCGCTTTACGCGCTTCTGCGTACAGCA